AAGAATCCTTTCCTATCAATATATATATGGCGTTAGGTACAGTAGTTTGAAGCCATGTAACTACTTTTGTAGTTGATTGTGGGAAGAGAACAGAGAGAAATGATATTTCCTTATGCTATAAAAGTTTACCCATAAACCCGAAAAAAAAAGAAAAAAGAAAAAAAAAAAACAGATCAGGCTATGAACAAATAAACATTTACTTCTCCAGACTGTAAATGATGGCTTCTATTAGATGCCATACTGGGATACTAGTGAGTGTTAGGAGAGCTAGGAAAAAAATGGCTCCTTTGTGTAACAATGTCTTCCTGAAAGTCTGAACTATCCTTCTTTTTCTTCCTTGATTATCTTATCCCTGTTAGAATGGCTTTTTAAAAAAAGCCTTTTATTGTTCTTTATACTCCATTCTTTTCAATCTTATGAAGAGCTATTCTCTAGAACAGTGATTCTCAAAAGCGTGGTATGTATACCACTGTGCAACCCCAAGACCCTTTCAGGGAGTCTTCGGGTCAAAGCTATTTCATAATAATCCTAAGATATTATTTGTACAACTGCTGGCACCTTGGGACAATCAAGGAAGTGACACCAAACAGTACTAATAGTCATCGTATTCTTTGCTGCCTCACACTTACAGTTTAAGAATATCCTTGATGAGGTTTAATGATGATTAAATTTATTAAATGTCAACCTTTGAATACCCTTCTTTCTAATATTCTGTGATAAAATGGGGAATATGCATAAGGCACTTTAGCTCTATGCCAAAATAGAATGGTTTTCACAAGGCAGAGGGCTTGGGCAATTTTTTTGAGTTGTCAGCTGAACTAGTCACTCTTTTAATGGATCATTATTTTTACTTGAAAGCATGATTGACAAACTATGGTTCCTTAAGTGTGGGTATTTGGTAGGTGTTTACTCGAAAATGAATGGAGTGAGCCTATAACTTTATGGAAAAACAACTGACAATATTTTTATCAGTGATAAAATCTGAGCTTTCAAAAAAATTAATTTCGGGAAATTTTTATTTACTACCTTGATCTTGTCATCTTCTTAATAGGGTATACCTCTTTTATTGCATTTCACTTTATTATGCTTAGCAGATATTGTGTTTTTTACAAATTGAAAATTTATAGCAACCCTGTATCTAGTAAATTTGTGGGAGCCATTTTTCCAACAGCGTATGCTCACTTTGAGTCTCTGTGTCATATTTTGATAATTCTCGCAGTATTTCATATTTTATTATTGTGTCTGTTCTGGTGATCTCTGATCAGTGATCTTTGATATTACTATTGCCATTGTTTTGGGGTGCCACAAACTGTGCCTGTGTAATGTGACAAACTTAGTCGATAAATGGTATTGGTGTTCTGACTGCTCCACCAAGTATCTGATCCCCTGTCTCTCTCCCTCTCCTCGGATCTTCCTATTTCCTGAGACACAGCAATATTGAAATTAGGCCAACTAATAACCCTATAGTGGTCTATAAGTGTTCAAGTGAAAGGAAAAGTTTCACGTCTCTCACTTTAAATCAAAAGCTTGAAACGATTAAGCTTATTAAGGAAGGAATGCCAAAAGCTGAGACAGGCAGAAAAGTTAGCCTCTGTGCCAGTTAACCAAGTTGTGAGTACAAAGGAAAAGTTCTTGATGGAAATTAAAAGTGCTACTCTAGTGAACACATGAATTATAAGAAAGAAAAGCAGCCTTATTGGAGAAAGTTTGAGTGGTCTGAGTAGAAGATCAAACCAGGCACAATATTCCCTTAAGCCAAAACCTAATCCAGAGCAAGGTCCTAACTCTCTTCAATTCTATGAAGGCTGAGAGAGGTGAGTAAGCTGCAGAAGAAAAGTTTGATGGTAGCAGTGGTTGGTACATGAGGTTTAAGGAAAGAAGCCATCTCCATAACATATGGTTCATGAGTTTTAAGGAAAGAAGCCATCTCCATAACATATGGTTCATGAGTTTTAAGGAAAGAAGCCATCTCCGTAACATATGGTTCATGAGTTTTAAGGAAAGAAGCCATCTCCATAACATAAAAGTGCAAGATGATGCAGCCAGTGCTTGATGTAGAAGCTGCAGCAAGTTATCCAGATCTACCTAAGATAATTGATGGAGGTGGCTACACTAAACAACAGGTTTTCAATGTAGATGAAACAGCCTTCTATTGGAAGAAGTTGCCATCTAGGACTTTTATAGCTAGACAGGAAAAGTCAATGCCTGGTTTCAAAACTTCGAAGGACAGACTGACTCTCTTATCAGGGGCTAGTGATCCTGGTGACTTTAAGTTGAAGTCGGTGCTCACTTACCATTCTGAAAATCATAGGGACCTTAAGAATTTTGTTAAATCTACTCTACCTGTGCTCTATAAATGGAACAACAAAGCCTGGATGATGTCACATATGTTGATAGCATGGTTTACTGAATATTTTAAGTCCACTGTTGAGATCTGCTCACAAAAAAGATTCCTTTCAAAACATTGCTGCTTGAGTGACAGTGCGCCTAGTCACTCAAGAACTCTGACGTAGACGTCCAATGAGATTAATGTTGTTTTCATGCCTGCTATCACAACATCCATTCCGAAGCCCATGGATCAAGGAGTAATTTTGATTTTCAAGTCTTATTATTTAAGAAATACATTTTGTAAGGCTGTAGATACCATAAATAGTGATTCCTCTGATGGATCTAGGAAAAGCCAATTGAAAACCTCTGAAAAAGATTCACCATTCTGGATGTCAATAAGAACATTTGCAATTTATGGGAGGAAATCAAAATATCAACATTAACAGGCATTTGGAAGAAGTTGATTCCAACCCTCATGGATGACTTTGAGGGGTTCAAAACTTCAGTCGAGGAATTAGTTGTAGAAGTGGTGGAAATAACAAGAGAACTAGAATTAGAAATGCAGTCTGAAGATGTGGCTGAATTGGTGGAATCTCATGATAAAACTTGAATGACTGGTAAATTGCTTCTTATGGATGAGCAAAGAAACTGGTTTCCTGAAATGAAATCTACTCCTGGTGAAGATGCTGTGAACATTGTTGAAATGACAGCAAAGAATTCAGAATATTATATGAACTTAGTTGATTAAAGCACTGGCAGGATTTGAGAGGATTGACTGCATTTTTTTTTTATTTCAGCGTATTATGGGGGTACAGATGTTTAGGTTACGTATGTTGCCCTTGCCCTCCCCCCAAGTCCGAGTTTCAAATATGTCCATCCTTCGGGTGGTGCGCATTGCACTCTTTGTGTATGTTTTGAAAGAAGTTCTACTTGTGTAAAATGCTGTCAAACAGTACTGCGTGCTACAGAGAAATCTTTCCTGAAAAGAAGAGTCAATCAGTGTGGCAAACTTCATTGTTGTCTTACTTTAAGAAATTTTCAAAACCACTCCAGCCTTCATCAAGCACCACGCTGATCAGTCATCAGCCATCAACATTGAGGCAAGACCTTCCACCAGGAAAAAGATCGTGACTTGCTGAAGGCTCAGATTATCATTAGCATGTTTTTTTCAGCAGTAAAGTATAGTTTAATTAAGGTATGCTCATTTTTTTTAGACATAATGATATTGCTCACTCAATAGACTACAGGATAGTGGAAACATAACCTTTATGTGTAATGGGAAACCAGTAAATTTTTGTGACTCACTTTATTGCCATATTCGCTTCTTTTGCAGTGGTCTGGAACAAAACTCATAATATATCCAAGGTATGCCAGTACTGTAAAGACTTTTTTGATGAGATTGCTGTGTTACCATCTGGAAGATCTGCATGACTAAGTTAATCAATATTTTTGAGTTGACCAACATATGATATTAACAAATCAGATACAGGTATAAAAATCCATTCAAAATGCAAAAATCCATTCAAAATGCAAAGTAGACCAGTGGATTTTTGTGTATCAGAATATGGACAGTTAATTGATATGGTTTCAGATTTTCCATTGCAACACACATTTAAGAAGCTGCCATTATTAGCTTCTGTTATTGCATCAAAGGTCAGTGTCCACAATTATATGAAAAGGCTATTAAAATACTCCTCCCTTTTCCAAATCAT